TGCAAAATTTCCAGAGGAATAACCTTATTTGTCTTTTTGCAGAAGAGTCTTCTAGCACCTTAGTACTTAAAGTATTTCTTGAGAATATGTCTTCAAAAAAACAATGTAACGGACAGACATAGCTGTTGATATTATGCATAGACACAACCATACGCAACATATTCACATGCAAACATGTTGATGTATAAATAGCAAAAGGAGAGATGGCATTAATTCCAAAGAGCTTTAAATTAGGAAAATGCATTATTTTGGGGAAGTGAATTTGTATAATATTTTGAACAGCACATGTATTTTATATTCTTTCTAATAAATGGATCTGCTTAGCTCTAAACAATCATATTACAAAGAACATCAATATGCTAAGATAGAACACTTTCTCGAGGCCAAGCAAATCATACTACTTAGGACAAATTACCAGCAACCAATATCTAAAACCAGCATTTAATTTTTCCAGAATGAACTGTACAATACCCACAAACACAGCCACATACAGCATTTATCTCCCAACAGATTGAAAGATTTATTTTACCACTTATACTTCCAAACAAATTAACAAAGCAAGGCAAAATGATCCTTAACATATATGAAAAAAAAATGAAAATGTCCAAACTGCTAACGTTTGCAAAAAAAATGGCCATCATTCATATCTTTGCTACAAGCTTCTCTTGTTAAGATGAGACTTACAAAAAGTCTTTTGACAGTAAGTCTGTGACCCAAATGAACAGTGGTTTTTTTTTTTTTCATTTACTGGAGTGAATTGCTATTTTATTTTATTTTAAATATGAAGCTTAGGGAATTTATAATACCTTTACAGGTAAGAAGATAATATTTTACTCTAGGTTCATATAATTTGTAAGTAAATATAACTATCTTTCTGATTTTAACTATTTTCTTATTAACCAAATATTAGTCTAGCAGAATTACAATGGGGTGTTTTGCATTCAAATTAGAATCAAATATTTCTAACTGCATAGTATTTGAAAATCTAAACTTTTTCTGTGTAGAATACATTGCGGCAAATAAGGCAGCTTTCATAACCAACCTTTCCAATATATTCCAATTCTTCATTCTTTCCATTGAAAAGATGCATCTGTATTAATGTAAATATCTGATTTTAGTTTCCTAAACTTACTTCTCATCTATCTATGAAATGATTGTTCCAGTAATAAAGTCATTGTGCTGATAAGAGAATTGAATGCACAATAGCAAAATTGTCACTTATAATAATACTGGTGAGAAGCCAAATAAAGCAGGAGTAAAAGATGTCAGATATTTGTGCTTTAATAAGATACTGTAACACAATACAATTATGTCGCTAATTTTGTTGCAGCAGTAGATGGATTTAAAATTACTGTATAATGGCTCACAGATGAAAACACAAACCCAGTATTACTCTTTTAACTGGCTGAAAGGATATCTTCAAGAGTTTATCTCTTTTGGATTTGGAACAGGAGAGTAAAAAATGCTTTTACTCACCTCTGGAATTTTTTTATCATTATGCATTATTGCTGTGTTTTATATTATAGTCAAGTTCATTTAAAATATTTTAGCACAACCCTTAAGAGAAGCTTGAAGAAGGAAAATAACACTTTTTTGGGATAAATGTAAAAAACTATTCAATCAGAAAAAAAAAAGAAAAGAAAAAAGTATTTTGTTATTCAACCAATCAATAAGCATTCTTTTTTAGTTTGAAACAGAACTGGGATATGTATGTTTCCATGTGTACATATACAAACGGCTTGGATTGAAATCTGGTCTCTGTCCAAATCAGTAAAGACCAGAAGTTAAAGGTTTCTGGACGTTGTCCATCTATCACTGATCAAAGTGATCTAAAGAAGAGTCTTTGGGAGGAAAAAAGTTAAAATATATGTTCCTTGAAGTTATCTGCATTTATTTTTGTATACAGAACATTCCTTTCAAAGGATCTGCAAACCAGTTGGGTTTTTTTTTAAGGTACAAAAGTAGAACTGCTATAAGGTTAAATGTCCATTTTAAAAACAAGATAGCTGTGAGTCTCTAAAGCTAAATGTTCTAATATGTCCCATGAATAACTCTTATAGCAAGAATGGTTTATCTTTATATGTCCTTTTAGATGTAGAGCAAGTAAATGAAGATACCTGACAGCAGCACATATAAACTTGCTCATATTTATGCAATTATTTCTTTCTACTATTCTTCTGGAAAAAAAAATAATATAATATATGCTCTCCAAGTACCTGTTGGTTTTCTATCACATATTTACATCAAATTGCCTTAAAAAAATTTAAAATCTCCTTCCAGGTAGGAATAAAACTTATTTCATGCATTTCATATAAAATCTACTTTATTAAACTATGCAAAAGTTTTGTTTGCAGTGCATGTATCTATTTTACCAACAGTTTCTTTTAAGCTATCAGTCACTGTCATACTAAATCAATCATAGGGACAGGGGAGATGAACTTGACCCACACGCATAGTATATTTACAAGCAACAAAAAAGTTTATGGTTAAGGCTGTCAGAAATGTGTTCAGATGCATAGCAGTTGTAATTAATCTATTGGATACACCGGATACACAGAAATTGTATATTGGAGAAGAATTAGAAATTTAAACACACTGTTACCCATGAAGTGGAATCAATTAACTCTTAAAAAAAGAATAGGGGTAAAAAAAAGAAAATCAAGATTCTTATGTGCATTCAGACAGACAGTAGCATTCTAACCAACCCTGCACAAAAGCAAAACTTATATTTAAAAAAAAATCCATACATTCAACATTACCATTCCTACAATGCTACTGTCTCTGCAAGTGTATTTCCATAGAAGGATCAACACTGAATACAGCATCTGCCCTGCATTTAGCCATATACTATACATACTATTATTCCTTTTTCAACACAGTCTCAGAAAATAAACATGACCATATGTGTCCAGTAATGAGGTTAAAAGGAGAAAGAAATTTTTATGCCCAACAAAACTAACAACACCCCCCCCCCAAATTAACAACTGGATAGTGGATGAACTTGCATTTTTCTGTCAATTACATTTGTCTGCTTATTTGCCTAGAGTTGTCTTCCTTTTACTTGTTGAACTCTGTAGCCTGACATCTACCGCTTTCTATTATTCCAAAACTATGAATGACTTTCTCTATAAAAGCCAAACACTCAATGGGCAGCCGAACAAGAAGTATGTGGTTCAACAGTAATTTACCAATATGGTTTTAGCTGGATTAACTCTTGTGTTGCCAAAAAAAGAGGAAAAAAATTACTCCAATTGTGAAAGTTCTAATAATATGAGGATATTAAAAAAAAAAGAATGACAGCTGAGTTAGGATAGATATATTACTAGAAAATGAATGTAAAACTAAGAGAGATATAATACACTATCATGTATTGTATTGGTGTGTAGCATGAAATGTGAGAATTGTTCTTTTCATTTAGTCTCTGTAACATATAAGTTGCCTTTTTAGCTTAGGTTGATTATATTTCTGTACAGGAAGCTGGTATCACTTGTAATCAGGGTCCCTCTACAGGATAAATCTAAATATACTTTATTTGAACACAGCCATCCTATGGAAAGTACATGTGATATTTAAACTCTGTCTGTACACAACTATTCTACGTTACAAACTACATTGGTCCTAAAGGAGTTTACTTTTTCTTGACTTTCCAAAAGATATAGGTAGGCATCTGCTTTTTCTTTTCACTAAAAAAACAAATTATAACTCTTTTGCTGCAAGAGTGGTAAAGTGAGACATATTCATGTCAATGGAATTCATTCATTAAAAAAACTGGCAATACAAGACCTCTCCGAGTAATAAAAACATAGCTTGCAACTTTTGATTGTTTCAGCTTCTTGATTAAGCAGACGTGAAACAACTTTTCAAAAGGAGCAATTTAAAAAGGAAAAAAAAACAAGAGGGAACAATTAGCATATGCTTTATTTTTTTTAAAGTCTTCTTTAGAATTCCTATCCTTTCTTTAAGTGAGTTTATACTGAAATCTCCCCCCTCAAACCTTTCAGACTATGTGTGTGATTATTTCATGCAGTATATATATTTTACCGAGAAGAAGCAAAGAATTGCAAAAGAAAAGCCACAGTGTTCTGGGCCCCGTATCATTAAGAGTTTGGTACCGATACACCTACTAGCTCTGTGATTAATTATCTGTTACTACTGGCCTTGCAAGAACATTTTAACTTTCCCCCTCTGTACCAGTCTGTCTTAAATGCAGCCCCAGGTTAAAGAACTGTTGGGGGGGGGGGTAACACATCAGGATACAACTCCAGAGAAACTGTACGTGTATCTAAGAAAAGAGACACCGCGAGAGAACAAGCAGCAGCTGGAACTGTTTCATGGAAGGACCCTCAGCTCTGTGCTAGCAGGAATTCCAACACAAATGCTTTGTCCTCTACTTTAGGATCCGGACTACACTGTTTTCTGCCACCTGTACTCAATTAGACTGTTCTGCCCCCCCCCCCCAGTTTAGAATTAGTTTTCATAAAGGGACTTATATATTCCGGGGGTGAAAAGGAAAAAAGGACTTTTGGCTGCAATAGTAGGAGCTTTTTTTTTTATTAAAAAAAAGTTTAAAAAGGAGGGAGAAAAGAAAACAAGGAGGGTGGGATAAAGAAAAGAAGACAAAGGCAATAAACCGGGATAAATAATCTCACTGGAAAAACTTTGAGAAGGGAGCTTGGTTTAAAAAATTAAAAAAGCAGTACTAGGCTTACTTATTTGCTTCTTTCTATTTTTTTTAAAAGAGCCCTTGAGGAATGCACCAAAATCAACCCAGACACGCCAAAGAGTAAGTTATGACATTACAGAAACTATGCAGCAGCACTGAAATAAAAGGAAGATAAACTGCAAATGATAAAAAGGATGAAATGCAAAAAAAAAAATTTTTTAAACAGACAAAAGTATGCGCAAGCCAGTGACGACGACAGCAGCAACAGCAGCAGCAGCAACAACAACAACAAAAGTGACCCCTTTCCACATGTGACAATCAAAGGAAATTGTCCTACCTGCTGGGACATTCTGAACAAGAGGTTAGTGTCAGCGCTCTGCCATGTCCCCATGAAACCCGACTCGGAGGTGGTTGCCGTCCTCGTTGTTCCGAACTGCATGGAGTTGTCACTGCAGGAGTCTCTTAAAGTCAAACCTCTTGCCCTCTTTCCTTCTGTTTGCCTCTGAATGTCTCTGTCTCTCACATCCACTTCTGCCTCTTCTGA